CTCGTCGGAAAGCTCCTCAGCATCACTGGGTTCATCGTCCCACTGGTCCTGGTTGAGTGCGTTTGCATTGAGATGCGAACGAGCATGAGTGTGCAAAGGGAAGCTCAACACGCTGTGAGACTCTGTCCATCTCAAGTTGTGACAAGCCTGCGCATCGGCTGCCGCAGCGCTCATGCTTTATGCCATCTGGCAATCCCTCATCAACCTGAACACCGGAAAGCCCCGCCTCTTGAGATGGCTTCTTGTAAGGCATGACTGCGCGAGTTAGCCACCAAAGCCTGGTCAGTGCCGAGTGCCGAGATACTAGCGTGAGAGTCAAACTGAGCCAATGCTCCTGTTCATGACAATTCTACTTGACCCAAACAGGCTACAAGTAATTCCAATCTCGGCTCCGAACAAGTCAGCCTAGAAAAGCAAGCGCCCCTCCGTATCGAAATCAGCTTTGGTACAAGCTTATGTCTCGGCCCTGCACTCGAACAGCAAGGGCTTCCGGCAACCTACCAGTTTGTGCGCTGGTATGTTGGTGTGTTGATAGTGATTGGTTTGTTGGTTTGTTTTGACTGATCGGCTTGCTTGCTTGTCTGCTTGGTTGCTTGTCTGTCCGCTTGTAGTTATAGACGGTTATCTGTAAAATCCTTGACTCGCCTTCTCCTTCCTGTCTCCCCCGAAGGCTTGACAGTGAGGAAAAACGAGGCGATAAGAGAGACAGGATACCGCTCCCAACATAAACCGAGCGGAGATGGCCATGAGAACCCGAACGAAGAGAGGAGTGGGAATGGGAGATGAAGGTTGGTCTACAGGAAATCCCTCCCTTTCAGTTGTTTGGTTGCTTGTTTGCTTGCCTGCCTGCCTGTTTGTTTGTTTGTTTGTTTGTTTGATTGTTGGTTTGTTTGTCTACTTGCTTGCTTACTTGCTTGCTTAATTGTTTGCTTGTTGGTTGGTTGGTTTTGTTTGCTTGTTTGTTTGTTTGTGTGTTTTCTGTTGGATTGATTGTTTTTGGGCAAAGTTCGGCTGTTTGTTTGTTTGATCGACTGTTTGCTTGCTGCCTTGCCTGCCTGCCTGCCTGCCTGCCTCCCTGCCTGCCTGCCTGTTGCTTGCTTGCTTGCCCTGCCCTGCCTTGCCTGCCTCGCCTTGCCTTGCCCTGCCTGCCTCCTGCTGGTCGTGGGTTTGCGGCTGCGTGACTTTGCGTATTCTTTGCGTGGTTGTGTGTTTGCTTGCTTGCTTGCTTTGCTTATATGTTGGTATGTCGGCTTTCTGGTTTGTTTGTTTGTTTGTTTGTTTGTTTTTTGTTTGCTTGTGTTTGTTTGGTTGACTTGGTTTGGTCTGGTTTCGTTTGTTGCGCATTTGTTTGTTGATTTGTGTGTGTGTGTGTTGGTTGTTCATGAAGAGCATGTTCAGAGTCACGCGGTGCGACACCTGACCAATTCTGGGTCGCCGATCTGTGCTGCTGGGTTCCTTGTAAAGTTCTAAACGCATGGCCCGAACGATTTCCCGGGCCTGCAATACTGGAGGCTCCACTGGACATCCTGCAAGCAAAATTGCAGCTACATGCCTTCGCCCCCCAACGCCATGGCGCGCGGCCAAAATCCCTGCTGCAGCTGCCCCCAATCCGCCTGATGGAAGCCCTTGGGTCGACAAGCGGAGAAAAGAATCCTCAAAATCAAGATTCCCCAACTTCGGTCAAACCCCTCTAGAAAGCTCTAGAAAGTGATCAAATCCCCTCCAAAAACCGCAGAAACCGGTCAAGAAATCACCCCTAGAAACCGGTCAAATTCTCCCTCTCAATGCTGGTCCAACTCCGGCCAAATCCCCTAGAAACCGGTCAAATTCCTCTCCAGAAACCTATCAAATCTCATCCCCCGAAAAAAAACCGTAGAAACCGATCAAGCTCCCCTCTAGAGACCTGTCAAATCCCCTCTAAAAACAAGTCCAACTCCGGTCAAATCCTTCCACCTTCGCTTGGCCCAAGCTCACTGCTATTCTGTAGCTCTCTGGCTCTCGTTCTGGCCTTGACGCCATGTGGAAACATGCAGACATGCACACGCATTTCGGCGCCGACTCACTCAGTCTAATAAACACAAGACTTCAAGGCAAACTAAAGCACGGCTTATAGCTCAAAGCCAGCCAAGAGCGGACTGGCCGAGACGGGCAACGCGAAGCGTTTACAACAATTTGTGTTTCCTGGAGTATGAAACATGGAACACTGCAAGTCTGGCCGTTCCTGTGCTTCTTCTTCACACAGGACTCAGGACATGGGCCAATGTCTCGAACAAAAGTGGGGCAAGAGCCACTGAGTCTCCTTCTGAGTAAATGTTCTGGGCAGAAAAGCGTGGAAGAGCTCATTGGAGGTGCTGGCGCCAATCCGCTCACTGTCAACCTCAGATGAAAGTCGGAGCTCGATTTGGTTGCCTTTTAATCCTAGAGGTTTCAGGACACACACACACACACACACACCGAGCAAGCAATTGACGTCAGGATAGAATGCAAAGCAACCTTTTCTGACGTGTGCACCATGCCTTGCTGACCAGCCTTTCACTGAAGCAAGCTTACGGAAGTTGGGGCCATGTTCCGTGAGGCAGCCTCACAAATAGCGGCCTTTGTTCACACTGCGGTTTTGCTCCTTTTGATTATTTTGATGGGTGTTTCATGAACTGTTCGTGCTGGTTACTAATTATTTGGGCAAGCATGGTGGGAGACGGTGTTGGGGACTTGCCTGCTTTTGACCCCGCACCCCTTCCCAAAGCATTGAGCCGCCAGCTGAAGTACATATCAAAAAAGGAGCTCGCTTCAAGGCCTGGCTTGGACGTGGACTCGCCCAGGTCCGAGCCAGCGTGGCAACTGCAACAGCAAATGGTGGTGTCCAAGCGACATCTCCATTCTTGTTGTAACTGATGCACACTTAGCCTCCCAGGTGGCAACTGCAAACTGTTGCTGGTTGCCCCCATTTCATTCCTTGTGTTCAAGTGATCTAGTTAAAATCTAGCTGTTTGTTCAACTCCCAGCTAAGCTGTGGTAACGCAACGCTCCATCCACAAGTTGCAATGTGAATCTTGCACCTCAGATTTAAGGCTCAGTCCCCTCCCCCCTTTCATCTCCCTTCGAGAGGCCCTGTGACACCACCACCGTTCAGTGCCATTTGGGTAGTGTGGCGAATTACTTCCTTTTGCCTACCTTGATAGGCAAAACACACAGCTAGCCAGCTACTCGGGCAATTCAATTCAATGAAAGTCACTTGCTAATTCGCCCACATGAGTCCACATCTGATGTTTAACAAAATGTAGTCCTTTACTAGCTTTCATGAACCCAGGGCTTGATTGCGGCTCACATATGCTCAAATGTTTGGAGCACCTGTAAATCTGCGCTATTTTGCCACAGCCTGTGCCAGAATACCTGATGCTTCATACGACAGTGAGGTGATGCCATATGTTATGCTTGACCACTGCTCAAATGTCTCAATATGGAGTGTTAGCCCAATGGTATAACACGTCTTTTGGTGGTTGCTCATCCAATTACCAAAAGAGCTTGGGGAGTGGCAATGACACTGGCAAAAATGAGTGCACGGCATATTGGTCTTTTGTAGAAGCGCTTGGAAGGCTTGGTTGTGGGAACCTTGAAATCCAAATGCCAATCCTAAAAGGTGTTGATCCCTGTCAAGCTCTACTTTCCAAGCAAATTGTTCTGACCATGGCGTGCACGTATCTTGGCAACACATCAGCGGGAAGCACCTGAGCCGAGCGTTGCTCCTGGTGCGCAAAAAAGCCAAGACCGAGCTGGCCCTCCCAATTGCAAACAAGGGGAAATAGTTGCCAAAAGCAGAGCGGGTTAGCCTCAAACGGAAGCACCATGTCAGTTGCTGCTTCACCCAAATGAGTCGCAGGCCCCATGGATAGGTTTGGCTCATCAAATGAAAAGTCTAAGCGGCAAGTGGCTGCGCGACAGTTTTCTGAATGCATCTGAATGCCAAGCATGTTAAGAAACTGATTTGCACTAGGTGCATGATAACGGCATTCACCAAAAACACTTGGTCAAGAACCAAAGCCATTGACAGCACCAACACAACATTCATAATAATTGCAGAAAGGCCACTGGCTGTCAAGCAAAGCTATACTGTCTCAAAGTGACCGGGTGCCTAGAACGGGTTTCTCAGCCATGGCTGGAGCCAGGTGGCACCCTTGCAAAGAGGCCGTGAGCCAGCCCTCAACAAACACCAAGCAACCACTAAACCAAGCTACCCTTACCTACCTCCCTTGCTACCCTGCCTTGGCTTGCCTTCCCTTCCTACCTTGCCTTACCTACCTACCCGCCTACCTACCTACACTGCTTACCTATACACCCACCTTGCCTTACCTATCTTGCCTTCCTAAGCCGCACAAAGCAACACTAATTCAATACTAACCAAAACTAAGCCAGTACTAAACTTGGGAAAGGCCAATCGACAGCCAAATTGCTCTGCCGGTTCCGGTTCTCTCTATGAGTCCCCGAAACTTGTTTGGGGGGGGTTCAATAATCAATGACCCGCATCAATTAATTCATTTGTCTGGAACCCTCGAAGAGACCTGTTGGGGCTATGTCTGACCATGACCCTATGACATAAATCAAACATGCCGGAAAATTGACCAAGCCCCCAGAAGGCGCGAACCAAGACCCTTGCAACCTCTTCTCCGAAGCCCCGGTCCTCCACCCACTCCTGCACGGAGTGGGCCCAGACCTAACACGTGGCTCAGTCAAACGGGTGGAGCCGACGGCACTACGCAATCCAAATGTCTTGTGCCACTGGCGGCCTCGTTGCCCAGGAGGAGGATGAGCGGCCGCGAGGCATCACCAGCCTTGCAGAGGCGCAAAGATTCAAGCACACAGGCATACACAAAAAAATATGAGAAGAGCAGATCAAGGGGTATGCAAAATTGTCGGCAGGTCAGAGAGGGCTAGGCGGTTGGTACAAGGGGTCAAAAGCGGGGAAACATGTAAATGTCCTGCGCACACAAAGGTGTTCGAAGGTA